AGGTCTTTGAACTTTTTCGAAAAACCGACATTGTCACAAGATTTAGCGTGGTCGATAACCAGTGTTCCATGTGCTTTCGGAGTTTCCAAAACATACAGTTTAGCCGTCAGGTAAACCCTTGAAAAAACCTTATGGCGATCGTACCATGATAGGTGGAGATCTGCCAGTTGCATAGAATTAAAGAGGACAGCTCCATGCATCGAATGCACTTCTCACAATTAAAAATTCGAAACTGTTTTGATGGAGGTCGACTATGCCACATTCTCAGTCGAAAAGTACACTGGAATACACCCTTTGACTAAACTGCCGTTTTTCATAGAATTATGTCTCCTGGTGTCCTCTACCGATTGTCAAAAACCGCAAGTTTCCTCCTCTTTCTCTTCCGAAGCTATTCAACAAACAGCCGAGTAATTTATATTTTGAAAAGGATAGTAGCATGTAGCAGATCAAAAAGATACATCTAATTAGTAGACACTTATAAATTATCAACAGTCTGTTTTCTGATCGAAGATTGATAAAGGCGCCAATCCAAATAGGTTTACTAGTAGAACACATAAAATCACAGTACATTTCGGATAAATTTTCTTGTACTAATGATATCAATTTATCCTATCCTTAATGCATACAATGAGATGGAATTGATGACATTTGACCTTTATAATATCTTTTTATATTTTGTGGTGATTCGAGAAAAACAAATGCCATACCCAACTGTAAATGCCAATCATTATGACAATGCATCATCCATATACCCGGATTATTTGCTTTAAAACGAAATACAATGTACGTGTTTGGATTCACTGTCCATGTATCGCGATAAATTGGATTATGTAAATTATACTTTATATTTCTATGCATTGTCTCATTATAAAAGCCCTCATTGGTCTTACCAGAAGCTAATATCCATGCAAAATGACCATGTAAATGGAATGGATGTGGCGCATAATCAATATTATTAATGACAACGTCGATTATTTCATTTGTTTCTATTAAACCAATATTCTTGTCTGATAATAGTTGATTTTCACTATCAGATAAAAGTAAATATAATAACGTTGTGTTTAGCGAATGACTAAACGTTGAATTATTCAAAGCGAAATAGCCTGGCGATGAACCTAACACTTTTACATTGAGTACAATAGTTTTTGTATTTTTATTGTTGTTTGGGATACGATTGGTATTACTCTTTAATGGATGTAAGTTTGACTCATCCATAGATCTCATCCCACTGGTAATTAATTCCAGTATGATACCATCAACATTGTTAAATGTGGTCATTGGCGGAGATTGTGCAAAGATATACTCGCCATTGTTATTTGTGTATTGTAATATAGCACTTACATTCGGTTGCACTGATGTGTTAAACTTTTCATTAAACATTCTAAAAGGATTGATTGTTGCACGTATCCAATAATTTCGAGTAGGATTTCGTTTTCCATTGACTAATACTGAATAACGTTGACCGGGATTTATTCTCAGACTTCTTACGCACATATCACCATTTAATATAGTACCATCGGCTTCAATTACTCTCATTTTGTGTTCATCTATTGTTAAAGTAAACGCAGCATAGATCGACGTATTTATTATACGGTAGCGTTTCGTTTCTCCGGTTTGAATAGATGCATTATAATACTCACAAATCTTACAATTAAACTGTCCAATTCCATTAATAAGTCCAGTGTCTGGAATGGGATCCTCCATGCTCGAAGTTACATAGGCTTGTAATAATACACCTACAGGTGTATGGTACCAATCACTTAATTGTAAAACTTCTTCATTTGTATAATAATTTTTCCATGGGTCATTTGGATCATTTATAATCAGTACACCTTTGAGACCATCACCATATTGTATGCCTGAATGTGAATGATACCAATAGGTTCCTGATTGTTCATTTGTGTTAAACTGATAGACATACGATTGTGTAGGTAATATGGCACATTGAGTCACACCGGGAACACCGTCCATATGTAAACTATGTCGTTGAGTTATACCATGCCAATGTATAGAAATTGCTTCTGACGCTTGATTAACTACTGTGATGTTTATTACATCACCTCTGTTAACGATAATTGTTGGCGATGGAAACTGATTGTTTATACTTAATATTTGTCGTTCATAACCATCGGGCGATGCATTAAACCATTGAACATGAAATGTAGCTGTATATACTTGTTGTTTATTAAACACCGCTTCAACTCCTAGCTGCCACTAAAAAGATTCTAGATTTTCATTCAAATATCCAGTGACAAACAACTAACTGTCACAGAGATGGACAACTCCAAATGTGGGATTGAGCTTTCTTTAGTGGAGTCGAAGCTGAGCTGAAGTCTCATTTTTACCACGTTCGAGTTGAGCTCCGTCTAAATTTTCTCAACTCCGCAACTTCGCCTCGAAAATTTGTATAAGTCCGACAGTTTTTTACTTATTTTTTATTACATCATATCAGATATTTTGCCATTTCAATGTCTATAAAGTGTTTATCATAATTGTAACAGAGTTGGGATTGGAATGTGCGGAGTTGGAGTTGAACTTTGTTAGAGTTGCTCATCTCTGAATCAGCATTTACCTTCTGAAGTGAAAGCATAATCAAAGCAAGAATTATGTTGCTCATCATTTGATTTTTCCTTCTTGTATCTGACAAGTTAAATGAAATATCGAATGTCTATTTCATTTAGCTAGAAGGTATCTAATACCTTTTACCTATTGTGGTACGAAGGAATGGAGAGAAAACTATAAGCAATTCTGTGTACGTAGAATGTTTTATATCACGGACGAATGTTTTCATACAAACAGTACAAGTAGGAAAAAAGAATGATTTTTTCATAACAAGGAAAAATCAAAGACTTTACACCTCGTATGTTGCAGTAAATGTGTGAGTACTTGGCTTCCTTCAGGACTGAAAGAAAAATCATGAAAAAATTTGCTGCTGCGTTTTTTGCAATTTGTTGTTTATAACAATGATCGTGAAGCAAGCAGGATTTCAAGATTTCTAAATTTGTATCAAGCTTTTATCTCTAGCAGTGGCTGAATTATCGTGAAACCAGAATTCCAGTCTTTCATCAGAATTTAGGGTAGAATTCTACCAGAATTTAACTCTGACGGAGATATACTCCTGTAAGACAAATTAACTGAGTGAATAAGTCCTAAACTCTGCCGACTGGAAAATTCTTGCGGGAGTATATCTCCGCCAGAATTTAGTAACACACAACAGAATTCAGTGACATACACTATAATTTAGGATTCTAAATCCTTGTGTGTCACCCAGCAGGATTCGATAAAATAGCCACCAAAAAGTCAACTTCTTTTTGCAGCGCAAGTCGGATGGGTGAGTGTGAACCACTTAGAAACATCCGTCAGATTTTAGGATCAAAATGATTACTCAATTCCGGTGGAAGTCTCGAATTCTAGTTTTACTGGAACTCTGACTACTCGCTTCATCCTGCCTCTTTCTCACGTCAAACTTTGTCCACCACAAATAACCGACGTAACAAGAGATATTTTCGCGCATTTTTCGCAAAGTGGTTATCCTAATTGAACTCGACCAATAGAATTCGTCGAACAAATCAGCTACGAAAAATGTTCCCTATAATTATGTGTTGAGTAATTTTGGTTAAACCAAGTTAAATATAGCATTAGAACCTATTCTGGCTCAATTAAAATCAAAATCAGAGTAAAAGTCCCGCTAAAATACTGAAAACAGTAATCGATACTTTTGACTTTGTGATCGAGAAAAGAGAGTGGAAACGGAGCAAAAATATCTTTGATGCCTTTTG